ACCAGCCGAAAATCGTACGATTTTCGGCTGGTTTTCTAGCGTGCTCCTTAGACAAAAGACGTGCGACCGTACAGTAGAAACGGTCGTACGTCTTCGTTCACACTGCTCGATTCTCGTACGATCGCGGGATTTCCCGTGATTCTCGTCGAGAATCGAGCAGTGTATGGGCACCTTAAGACCCCTTTCACACAGGTGGAACGGATGCCACTGTTGTGAGATCTGTGTCCATACAGTTTTACCTTCCATCTTCCAAAATCTAAACTTACGAGAGCTATGTTAGGTCTATGGCAAGGGTGGGCAACTCCAGTCCTCCAGCTGTCGTGGAACTACAAGTCCCACGAGGCATTGCAAGACTGACAGTTAAAGGCATGACTACCAGAGGCAGGGGCATGTTGGGATGGGATTTGTCTATGGGGAGTCGGATATAAACAGGCATGTGTCCATTTACATCAGATTACCCTTGATGCGCCACGATCAGGACCGCCGAATCGGAACTCTGTTCCATTTGGTTTTCCGGACCTGGGCGAAGTTGGGGGTAAGTGGATGTAAAGGGACACACATCCACTTAGATCTGGCTGCCCATAGACTAACAATGCGCTTCAGATCAGATCCGCCAGAAAAAAAGACAGGCGGACCTGATCGGAATGCCTGTGTGAAAGGCTGTTAACGAAAAACCTGTTTCTTTCTCTTGGATAGAAAGGGAAAGGGTTAGAACCTCTGACAAGATTTTGTAATTGTTGTTTATGTCCCAGTTGGGGAGATTCACCCCTCTATTCAAAGAACAGAAAGGGCAGAAGTTAAAGAGAAATCTACAATGTTAGAATTGTAATTAGGGATGGGCTCAATATTTGAGTGGAGCAAGAGCTCGACTTGAACATTGGCAGTTCGTGTGTTCCGCGAACACACAAACTATCAGGCCGCTTAGCGGGCATTTCGCCCGCCGAGCGCCCCACAGGTCAGCTGCAAGACTTTGCCCAATCAGGGCCCAGTACTCTGTAAGAGCCATGATTGGGCAAAGTCGTGATGACTTTGCCCAATCATGGCTCTCCTGTCAAATGCCGTACAACTGTAAACAGTTGGGCAGAGCTAGCTAGCTGTCACCGCTAGCTCCGCCCAAATGTGTATATGTTGCTGGCATCTGTCAGAATGCCATTCTGCGGTGGGAGTTCGTCACAAGCGGACGGGTTGGCGGGCGTCGTTTAAAAAAAAATAATTTCTTGTTTTATTTTTTATTTAGTTTGGTCGTCTTCGTTGTGGACAATGCTGGATGTCGTGATTGACCTTGGATTACGTCGGTGAATCCATTTTTGTATTTTTATAAAAGACTTGTCTTTTGCTTTTTTTCCAATTAAAGAATTTTTACAAAAGTCTGGCCTCTTTTTAAAAACTTTTATGTAAATGTATTTTTGTGGGGAAGAGGCCCTTGTCCCCATCGGCTCGGGGACAAGGTGCTTTTCCAGGTGCGACCCTGGAAAAGCACCCTCCCAGTGCCGAGGGCATGTGGCCTGGTATGGCAGGAGGGGGGGTGCACACTCATCCCCCCCCCTTTCTTTCCTGCCCTGCCAGACCTATGCTCGGATCAAGGGTCTGGTATGGAATTTTAGGGGGGACCCCACTTTTTTCCCCCCCATTTTGGGGGGTGGTGTTCCTCCTTAAAACTCCTACAAGACCTTAAAGTGACATTAAAGGCAAAAAAAATGTTCCCTCCCCCCAATGTTAATGTTAGCACTTACCTTAAATTATGTCTCTTTTTCCGATCTTCCTCTTCTTTCCTTATCTCCAGCGGTGCGGCGGCTCTCCGATCCAACGCTGACTGCTCTGTCCCTCCGATCCAGCGGTGTCTGCATGCGGGTGCACGCGTCCATAGACTTACCTTGCGTCCCTCGTTGCGTCCCTGCCGAAAATGAGAACTGCGCATGTGCGCGCCCCAAGATCCTTTGCGGCCACTCGAGAAATTTCTCATTTTCGCACGGGACCGCGCACGGAACACAGGGTAAGGCTAAACTGCTGTTTGAGCCTTTAAAAAAAAAACTTTTTGCATATATCTACTGCTTGCTAGGGAGGGTTTAAATATCCTTTAATGTCCTGGTATGATTTTTTTTTGGGGGGGGAGGGGGAAATCCCATGCTTTTTTTTTAATTGGGGTCCCTCCTAACACTTCTACCAGACCTAAAGGGTCTAGTATTGTTTGGAAGGGGGAACCACACTTTTTTTTTTTCTTTACAAATTTATTTTTTGCTGCAGCAGATTCTATACATCGTACAGATGCGCCACTTTACAGGCAGTATAAAGGGATCCCCCCAGGCACTATATTTAAAGGAATTCATGTCTCCCAGGGCAGTACCCGAATCCCCATACCCTTTTTATGGACAATAATTTACATATAAGCCTTCAAAATGGGGACAATTGATTTTCAAAGTCCCATAGAGTTACATTAAGTTTGAATTCAAACGTTTTCCATGTTCTAAAGTTTGAATTCGAACCGAACACGGGGGTGTTCAGCCCATCACTAGTAGAGATAAGAGAAGAGGGGCAATCTTCCAATGGAGACAATGTCTAATGGGAATTCCCTTCACTATGGGGAGATTTCTTCTAAGTCAGTCTATCTATCTATCTATCTATCTATCTATCTATCTAAAAAGTTATTCCAGATTTAGTAATACCATTCAAAATGTTTCTTTTGATGTCTTTTCAGGCAGACATGTTGACATAAAATATGTTCATTTTTAGACCATATGACACAGACAAGTAATGTTCAGCTAAAAAAATGCATTTATTTAATTACGTTTACAATGTGAAATATCTAACAGCATAATAAAAAAAGTTCAGGACATTTATAAGCACATCTAATTATGTTACATCTCAGCCATGTGCTGTCTTATGCCCATTATTTCCTACAAAATATTTTGCATCTATAAGCTGAACTGTTTATTATGTGACTATATTTTTTCTGTTCTCATTTGCGTCAACGTAACACTAATATGTAGACGAGACCAATATTTGTCTAATACGTGTTTGGATCTAAATACTCCCTAGAGGTGCAGTGCTGATATAGCTGTCCTGTTACCCTATAGATACAGGTGATGGTATGAGGATGCTGCTACAGAATTAAACCAGAAGATTGGCGCTATTAGTAAATGTTACATGAAGGTAAACAGTAGCCAGTCACTAGGTACCCATTCACACTTCACACTTGTGTGATCTGAAGCGTTTGGCCGCTGTCCAGCAATACACAAGAAAAGGAATCCCATTATTTTGTATGGAGCCCACTCGCACATATGCATTGTGCTTCGAAAAAGGTGCAGGTGATTCTTTTGGTGCTACATAGAACATTTTTAGCCCCATAGACTTTAATGGGAGCATACAAACACATGTATTTTAGAGCTTGACAACAAGCCCTCACCCACCCGATTTTGTTTCAAAAAATGCTTCAACCATGCAACAAAATTGCACTAAAAATACATGAAAAAGCAGAAGCACAAGTTTGAACACAGACTAAAATTAATTCAATAGCAGACACCCCCCTTCATTTTCACTGGTAGCTTTATGATATCACAACTGCTAGCATTCTAGAAATTTAACTTCACTTCCTGTCCTGAAGACACAATTGGAAGTGACTGGAGTACTCTGCAAAGTGAAAGTAATCCTTTCTTAGACAGGTGTCCCTATTAGAAGATTTCCTCTCTTTTCCTATCCTGGTGACAACTCCAAATGTTGGATTTTCGGTCACTTTTATTGGCAGTGACAGTGATCACCAGGACTAATATAGAGGACAAATCTCCCCAGAACCAAAGCAGACAGCAATAAAACCAGACAGAGGTTCCAACTGCTCAACACTCAATTCCAACACCTGGCTTTAGAGATATTTGAATTGATACTGATATTATTTTCCCATTAAATCAACATGTACTAAGCATGCAGAAGCTGCCATTAACTGACCTCCTTTTAAAAATGCAAACTGCCTGGCTATCTCTGTCTTTAAGACACTAACCTGGAACCTGGCAAACAAGTCAGGAAAGTCAGTGACTCAGAAAGACTCAGGATCAGCATGGCAGCTAGGGAAGTAGTATTTTAAAAGGACGAGGCAGGAATGGCAGCTTGCATATTTACTTACCGCAGGTGCACTTTGCCATTTATATGACTATTCTGACACTGGAACCAAAAACAGTTTATTCTTTGTATCCTCTTTAAAAGAAAGTTTGTTGCAAACTATTATTTTATTACAATCCTCAATCTTTATCAGTTAGTAGAGGCAGCTGAAAGCTACATAGGAATAAAGAATAAGAAAGAAATGTTGCAATGGGCACCACATCTTATCACATGAGGCCACCGATGTCTGCGACTTGATTAACCAGTTATAGGCAAAGGCGATTGTCTTTTTTGCAATGGTGTTAACTGTTTCAAAGCTGGTATGCTGGTCATAGTGCTATGTTTGTCCTCACTTAGAATTACTGTCAGGAAAGAGTACAAGGATCTGCAGCAGTTTACTCATTTGGCAAAGTAATGTTTCCACTATGTATGTATTATTGACCATATTAATGTCACACTGGACAAAGACACGTTGAATAAATTATCTGCAGTATTTAAAAAAAACAGAACTGCAGTATCTAAAAAACAGAGCTCCAGATTGGATGACTTCCCACAGCAGGATGCTTGGCAATGACAGCATGAATGAAAAGTAAAAGCACTCTCAGCAGTGTGACAGGCTGCTGTACAACACTGGACAATTCACTCTATAGAAGTAATATTTCATCATCAAGACAAAAAACAAGGTACCATACACAGGACATAAGTGAGAAGATCTTTGACCAGTTCCGACAACATATCTGAGCACTGTCTGTTCTTGTTGTGCCTACTGAGGTTGCAAGATCTACTTCCTACTCCAAGAATTATCCTTTTGTATATGAGATTACTATAGCTGACCCCACTACTGCTTTTCTGCTTTTATTACCCATTCATTATTTGCTATGGGATTATTGCAGGAAGTGATGATCTTTGTTATTTTGGTTGCAGACTTGGCAGAGTTTGTGGCTAGCATTGCTGCATCTTTAATGTCCACCCATAGCACTTTGAAAGTTCCTTGGCCTTCATGAGGTTTTGTCTATTTGGGCAGTTGTACAGCCTTCATGTTGAGGTTGCTGGGAACGAAGTGACTGAACCTGCAGGCGGAACAGGCACAAACGTTACTCCCTCCGGGCACAGTGAAGGCTGAGCATGGCTGCTCCTCCACCGCCAAGGAGTGCAACTTGCCCGAGCACTGAGTCTCTCCATTGCTGCCAGGTGCCAAGAACACAGACCCCGGAGCTGCAAAGAGTGGCAGACCAGCAAGGAGCAACCTGGGTGCTGGGCCGCTCATGTCCCCGATGATTCTTCGTAATTCTTGAAGAGAACTTCCAAGAAGCAGTATGTAATTCCTGGCCAACAAGAGGGTGGCAATCTTGGACAGCTTCCGACCTGGTGAGCTCTGGCAGTGGGTGGCAGAGTATGGCATGATGACTTCTCTCAGGGCGTCCATCGCCAAGTTAAGATCTTGCATTCTCTTCCTCTCCCGGCTGTTAATCTTCTTCCTCAGCTGCTGCTGCTCCTCTTTTAAGTCTCTGTTGTGTCGTCCACACCTGTGCGTGGCAAAAGCGGACGCCAGCTTCTCTTTTCCTTCACCGATGCTCAGAAGGGAGGTTGGATGCCGGTATGCAGCACCGAGCTCTTGGCTCTTTCCACTTGGCAAGTCACTGGGGCAATGTCTTATCATCTTCTCTCTGCTCTGTATAATCCTGCAGATCTGCATAGTACTCAAGCAGACCTCTGCTAGTGAGCTCAGCGATGCCTAAAAAAGCATTTTTTTTTTTTAGGGCTCTGGCTTTGGAATTCAGCAGGATGCAGAGGGACAAGCTATTGTGTTAACCAGTCACTTGACTGCACGTTCCTCTCAATTTCCCATTGATAAACTAATGTGTAAGACAGCCCATTCCAGAATCAAAAAGAGTGAAGGCTTTCATTGGCTGCGATGTTCAGACTTTGGACTGAAATCTCAAAGCTGCACAGACAGGACTGCAGCCTTTGACTGTATTGAAGACTAAAATGTTTTTACATTAAAGTATTCTACAATACTGTGCACTTTTATTATCAGAATCCTCCATATTCCACAGTTTGGAGGTGACTCGGGAAGTATGTGAAAGAGTGCTGTTCCAAAGATCTCACACGTTAGAGTGAACAGCCATGTCATGTTAGGCAGAAGATCAAGCATTTGAAGAGACCCTTTCAGTATCTACATAAATCCTACCTGAAGGTCCTTGCAAGAGAAGAGCAGTAACCTTTCCTCTCTGGCAGGCTTAGTTTGCTACCTTGCCTCTTGCCAGAGCTGAAACCTGCAAAGGTGCCTGTGTCAATGAACTTTTGAGGATGGCATCAGTTTGAGATGCTTCTGAGATCATTCATGATTCATGGAAAGGTGCATTTGACCTGCAGTTGACCTCCATCTGATCTGCATTTGACCTGCTTCAAGCTGTTTTTCCATTCCCATAGACTTATATGTGAATGTAAAACCCTATTTGAAGTGAACAAAAGCCTATCAACATAAACCTTAAGACTCTTGGGAATTGAACACTGAGGGGTCTATTCACAAAGCTGCCGAAGGATCTGGCCGTAGCTTTGGCCGATCCTTCGGAAAATGCCTGTGCCCCCCACTGAATGCTCTGGATCCATCCAGAACCATCCTTCACTGCTTTAGTAAGAATCCTGTTATGACATAGTGAACCAGAACCAGCAGCATGACAGGCAGCTGACAATCCCAGAAGTGTCTAATGCTGAAGAGATTAACGAGACTATAGAAGCTGCAGCGCAAAAATAGAGCGAAGGAAGGAGACTTGGGCTGCCAGAGAAGTGAGTATAATGATTCTTCTCTTGCGAGGACCTTCAGGTACAATCTTTTGCAAGACTGACAGGGTCTCTTTAAGATACAACATTCACAGCTTAACACAGCAAATTAAATTACTCTTTATTCAGTTTTTCGCCCTTCTGATTGCTCACAATCGACTTACTGTAAAGAGCACTGAAGTGCAAAACTTTCTTAGTGTAGCGCCCCCCTGACCCCCAAAGGGATGCGGTGAACCCCAGAGGCAGAGAGGGCTGACATTTCAAGGGATGGATCCTTAGCCGGGTTGTGAATAGTGAATTGGGCGCCAGTCACTTTAGGTACAATTTCAATGCTTTATTATAGAAAAGCTGCAACTGGGAGAGAGGGTATAGGGCTACAGTCATTCATGAGCAAAAATAGACTCCAGACTCACCAATCCCTTCCAGCTTTCACAATGCAGGAATAGTTTAGTTGAGCAGAGGATGACACTGTGTAACAGAATCACATTTGGATAAAGGACATACTTGAGATCTTCCCTTGGTGAGACATCAGACTTGTTCATCGAGTTCCATGCCTTCCTGGCACCTCCAGCAGATAAAAGGCTCTTCTGGTTCTCCTTCCCAGATAGTTCCAGACCCCTCCTGCAGGCTTGAGGCTTAGTCAGCTTCTCCAACCTTGTACATCCTATCTCCAGGCTAGCCCCGGGGGCAGACTGCCCTGCGCATAGGGCAATTCCTAAGTATTTATGCACTTCCCCAACATGCACCACTGGCCATGAAACTCCTAGTTATTGGCTGGTGAGGCCCAAACACTCCCAATGTTCTACCACAGGTAGGTGCACACAACAGCAACAGAACACCTAGGAATGACCAAATCATCACAGACTACAAATCAGACAGACTGATTACTAAATTTAAAGAGCTACACCACCTAGCATGAAGGGGCTAGATTAGCATCCCCATGGGCCCCCTGGAGTCTGGGTCTCCAGGGAGCCACCTGTTCTGCCCTTATTATAATCTTTCACTGCTCACAGGATAGTTAACGTTTGCAGTTGTGCAATGAAAGAATGCTTATTAAGGTGCATTTCTTGTTTCACTATTCAGTTTGTCACTGACACAGAACAAGCATGCAGCCACTAAGGACAGAACATCTGATCAGCATACTTGTATTGAGCCATTAATTCATTTTCTAAGTCCAGATTTAAAAAAATTAGGTCCCCTAATGCCTGTAGGAATAAAATGCATCTTTTGCTGCAATACACACCTTTCTGGCTCTGCCCCCCACAGACACTCTCATGACCACTCCCCTTTCAGGTTGAATGATGCCCAGCTTCATTCAACCCATTTCCTGTGACAAGAAACAGTACCGGCGCCTCCACCTGCGATCCGGCCAGTTGTAACGGAAATATGAAAACACTAAAGAGGCAGCTCCCTCAGGTCAAGCAGACCACAAATCTGAGAAACAAAAAAACTAAAAAGGGCGCCTCCATAGTGTAAAAATGAAATTTAATGATAAAATGCACAGCTCGTATTGTACTTACAAAAAGTCGGTGGTAAAAGGCATATAGAGAACTATAGGATATCAAATCTAGCAGAGGAAGTCTGAAAAGGATGTGGGGTATCAGCGTCCACTGCCCCTGGATAGTCAAAGGTTTACACGTTTTTGGGGCACGCCCCCTTCATCAGCACCTCTGATGAAGGGGGCGTGCCCCAGAAACGCATAAACCTCATGGGGCAGTGGGGCGGATACCAGTTTTGCAAGTACGATTACTGGTACTTGCCGAGTACTTACAAGTACGAGTACTGATACATTTTTGTTTATTGTCATGTGACAGTTTTTCTAAAACAATACAGACTAATGATTTCAGGACAGTGGTGGAGTGCCAGAGCCAGGTCCCAGCTGCAACCACTGCAACCCTGGTAGTTCTCATGAAAATGCCAAGTATCTGTACTGGTACTCAAAAAGTATCTGTGCATCCCTAGTCTCTACCTAGACTAGCAGACCTCCATGCTGCTATTGCAGATCTTTAAAAGCCACGAGTGATTGACATTGTTCTAATGGTGAAATGTTTCCACTGGCAGAAAGGTCTTAGGGTTTTTACTCCAACATTTTCACTGTTCCACTGTTCACTGTTCCAAAACCAAAAGGGGACATCAGCCCCATCTTCTAAGTTCAGGCTTAAACTGTCTTGATTGGAATCCAAAATTTCAAGATTGAATCCACCAGGTCCTCCCTCCATCAGAGAAACATTCTAGTCTCTGTGGACATCTAGGAAAGCGTACTTGCATGTCTCCATCTTTCCAACACATCAACGCTACTTGTGGGTTTTCAACACTTTCTGTTTTTGTCCCTACCATTTGTTTTATCTTGCACATGCCGTATGTTCACCAAGTACTGACCCCCATGCTAGCCTTGATATCCTCCCAAGATATTCCCATTATGGAATATCTGGATAACCTCCTATTGAGTGAACAGTTGGCACAGGTTCTGACAGACAATGGGATGCGGACAGTCCAGACCCTAAAAAGGTTTGGTTGGTTCCTGAACCTTCAGAAATCAGTGCTGGAACCCACACATAACTTGGAGTATCTAGGGTCTTAACCTAGACACAGCTCAAGCTAGAGTTTTCCTGCCCCAAGAAAAACTTCTGACTCTCTGCTTCCAGACTTGGACCCTTCAGTCCAGGAGTAGCCTGACGTAATGATAGCTTTCTTCAAGGCAATTCTGCTTGCTCATTTTCACTCCAGATCCCTACAATGTAACATTCTGCTGTTGTGGGACAAATTAGATTAGTCTCTAGACAAACCAACTCACCTGACACTGATGAAGACCTGTGTGTTTCTGGCCTGGTGGCTCAGGAATGCAGCTCTAGAGTTGGGGGAATCCTTTCTCCCACTGTCTTGTAAAATCCTAACAGATGCCAAACTGAAGGACTGATGAAGTGTTGTAGACACCTGGGGGCAGGGGTTTTGGTTCTCCCTGCAACACTGGTATTTTATGACCTGTGTCACAGGTGGGGGACACTGGATGTGGTTTGTCTTCTAATACATAGATCCTCTGGTGGTAGCAGGGAATGCTCTGATGTCTCTGTGGGATCAGTGCAGCCTGATCTATGCCTTTCCTTCTCCTGAAATTCTTTACTCATCCATTTCACAGGATCAAGATGGAGGGCATTCCAATGATCCTTATAGCTCCAAACTCCCCCAGGTGTATGTGGTACTCCGACCCAATCAAACCCAAGGATCAGTTTACCACTCTGCTTTATGGTCACTGGCTGTAACGGCATTGCTGTTGAAGCCCAGGTCTGGAGAGACAGGGTCTCTCTGATTCAGTTATTCCCCCACTGTGTTAAAAGCTATAGGAATTCTATCTTCCTGAAAGTCTACCATTGCATATGGCAGGCATATTTTGCCTGGTGTGAGGAAAGAAGCTTTTAACACCGAAAATATTCTATAGGGAGAACCCTCACCTTCCTTAATCAGGACTGGGTCATATTTTGGCCCTGAGTGTCATTAAGAGAGGACATTTCTGTGCTTATGTTCTTATTCCAAAGCCACTAGCCTCTCATTCATTGGTTAAACCTTTGGACGGACACAGTGTCTCTCATCTTCTTTCACAACAGCCCAACAACATTTAAAAAAATTTAAACAGGTATTTAATGCAGGTATTAAAACATAAATTAAAAAAAGCAGCTCCAGCTGCCATATTTACCTTCAAGCTGGAGCCATCCCCCACAGTACTTCTTCTTTTTTACCACAAAATGTCCTCGGTCTTCTAGGTTGAATGAAGTAGAGCTTTACTTAACCAGGAAGACTGAGGACATATTGTGTAAGGAGGGTGTCATGTGCCCATCCCTTAAAGGGTGTCACCCCATAAGGTGCCCTATATTAACAAAATAATGATGCAGAGAGTGACGTTGACATGGTCACATTAGCACTGTTCTCTGAATCATCCAGGGCCTCCCATCACTGGGAGAAGAGGACCCTACATGGCATGTGACCTGCCTAAAGACTCTGTCAAATGCTAAATATGAAAGAACCTAAAATATA